GGTTAATTGCAGACCTAGCTTTGGACTCATTCATCTTTCACCATGCTTCAAGCCTACAGCTAACCCACTGTGCCCCCTCAGGCAAGTCCCCTGTGTCTCTGGGTCTTAAATTCCTCTCTATAAAATTCAGAGTTGTGGCTTAAGAAATTCTAATGACTTGGCCAGTACAAATCTCTGGTCTCTACCCACTGGAGTTTTGAAACATCTAGTGAAAGCCAGTCACTCAGCATCTGTTCCTTTCCATCTTCTGCCCTTCCCGGGAGAAGGTCAATGTCTTAGCTCGGGCTGCCATCACAAAATACCATAGACTGGATGGCTTCAATAACAGGACTTTATGTCTCACAGTTCTGGAATCTGGAAGTCCAAGACCAAGGTCCATCAGGGTTCAGATTCTGGTGAGGGCTCTCTTCCTGGCTTGCAGATGGCCACCTTCTCACTGCATCTCCACATGGTCTTTCCTCTTGAGTGTGTGTGAGCAGGGAAAGAGAGAGAATGACAGCAAGCTCTCTGCTGTCTCTTCTTACAAGGATACTAATTCTATTGGACCAGGGCCCCACTCTTATGACCTCACTTAACCTTAACTACCTCCTTATAGGCCCTCTGTCCTTACAGGCCTTTTGTCAAATTAGGTGTTAGTATTTCAACATATGAATTTAGCAGGGACACAATTCAGTCCATAGCAGGGGAGAGGATGCTCTAGGTTTGGCAGGAATTGGAGGAACATCTGAGTAGGCCTGTCGGCTTGTGGAGGATTGACTGCAGCTTTCTAGGTGCCAGAGCAGTGGGACTGTCCTTGGCAGATGTGACCCTGACATACTTCAGAGGATGAGCCACGTTGCTCCAACACCTCCTCTCTGACCTCACCTGGGCCTGAGGACCTGCATCTCAGCCAGCCTAGCCAAGGGCCTGGGGAGAAAACTAGGGTATGTTTCTGCAGGAAGTGTTCACACATTTTAAGCAGGCATCCTGGCTGAGCTGGGCCAGTGGAGAAAGCAAAGTTGAGTTTTGCTCAGAAGCTCTTATAAGACCATGAGCTTTTGTAGTCTGTCTGAGGTTGGATTCTGCCTATTTTACTGACTAGCTATGATGTCTAGGACAAATAATGTAATCTCTGTGCCCAAAGATCTAAGTTAGGAATTGCAACAGCTGATACTAACAGGAATCTTTTTTTTTTTTTTTAAGATTTTATTTATTTATCTGACAGAGATAGAGCACAAGTAGGCAGAGCAGCAGGCAGAGGCAGAGGGAGAAGCAGGCTCTCCGCTGATCAGGGAACCCGATGTGGGGCTCAATCCCAGGACCCTGGGATCATGACCTGAGCCAAAGGCAGTCGCTTAACCGACTGAGCCATCCAGGCGCCCTAGTAACAGGAATCTTAATCTCTTAAACAATGGGGACATTGAGTTCTTTCCTGCACACTTTCCATCTTTCTGCTTTGCCATCCTTAGCACATGGATCCCACCTCCAAGGCTGCCTCATGTCCAAGATGGGTTGCAGGTGCTCTAGCCATCACATCTTCATTCCAGGCAGTGGGAGAGAGGGTAAGCAGGACACACATATTTTACAGAGCTTTTTCCAGATGTCTGCCTTTTAAACGTTTCAGAAGTCCCATCAACATTTTCCTCTTACGTTGTCTGAAACTTATTCACAGGGGCACACCCTGTGGCAAGGAAGACTGGGAAGTGTAGTCTCAGCGTGGCATGTTGCTGCCCCAAATAATATTGGGGTTCTTTTCTGAAGTGAAAGATTCGAATGGATATTGGGTAGGCATCTTGCAATTTCTGTTAACACTCAGTTTTTTTCTGCCTGCAGTTTGGGGATTGTAATGATACCCACCTCACAGGAGTGTTGTGTTGCCTTGTACCCAGTAGAGACTCAATGTATGTTAGCTAAATTACTATCAAGAGTGAATGAAGTAAAAAAGGAAAATAATGTTGGCATTACTATGAAGATAGTTTTGACCTCACAGACCCAATGAAAAGGTCTCGGCGGGGGGGGCCCTGGGTGGCTCAGTCAGTTAAGCGTGTGTCTTCAGCTCAGGTCATGATCTGGGGGTCCTGGGATCAAGCCCTGCATCAGCATCTCCACTCAGCGGGGAGTCTGCTTCTTCCTCTCACTCTCCCTCTGTGCTCTCTCTCTCTCAAATAAATAAATAAAAACCTTTTTTAAAAAAAGAAAAGGTCTCAGGGGTCCCCAGGACTCCCAGATTACATTTTGAGAACTGCTGCTTAGAGAATCAGACTATTCTTGGAGGGGCTTGCTAACCAAGCTCCAGCATGACACTGAAAGAACATACAACCATCCTTTCACCTTTTTGAAGTTTGGATAATTTTTGTAACAGATATGACCTAGTTTTTATTTTTCCAAGATCTAGCATAATCTGTAATGCCCTTTCTGTGTACGTCTTTGTCTTTGCTCATCTTAGAAGTGTAAACCCCATGAACACTTGCCACTGTGCTCCAAAGCTCTTGCCATGTGGAAGTAGATCCACAGACAGAAACTTGACAATGTTGAGCTTTTCCGACACCCTGTGCTCCTGGAAAACAGTAAAGGTTAAGACTTCCTCAACCCAATCCACCCATTGTGTTCTGGAAAATAACTTATTGCAAAGAACCACCCTTCCTTCCCCGTATGACTTAAATAAGACTCACGGATGCCGTCCTTGTTTACCTATGACAAGGCCAGACACAAACCCCTAAATTCTTTCTTTGCCTCATACATGGATAGCTGAGCCCCTTGTCCCCACTGATCAATCAGAACAAAATGCTTGTTTTAACCAAAATTCCATGAAACCTCGCTCCTTCATCTAAGCGCCTGAATGGACTTTAGCCTACCCTCAGCTTGAGCCACTATACAGTCCCTCTTTGAGAGTAGACTGGCCTCAGGTAGCACGTTCTTGTATCTACCTGTCCAGTTCTGCCACCCTTTTGTCCTACTTCCGCACACCTGGTTCTTTTTAGCCTTGCTTACTCCTCTCTCTATAAAAGAAAAGCCCTTTCTAACTCTTGAGATGCTTGCAGACCTTATAGTCAGAGGGTTCTCCCTATGGCAAATCTTTTTCTCCCCTTGCAATAATCTTTTCGAATAAAATCTCTCCTAAATCTGGATTTGTTTTTTATCAGACATGCTGAATGAAAGAAACAAGTGTAACAGATCAGAGAGTGGCTATATTAATTCAGCTTTGCAGATTCTGATCTGACTCCTCTCCCTTTTAATCACATTCTTACATTCTGATGCCTAGACTTGCCAAATCCACCAGCCCGTGACCAAGCACTTTGGGCCAGGAGTACAGCTGTGGCTGATAGCGGGGCTTTACACATTAGGATTTGGATTTCGGTGCTGGCACTCCCCTCCTCTGTACCTCGGGTCAGGTCACTTAATGTCTCACCTGTTGAGCCACTATTTACTAAGTGTAGGCTTTGAATTGGACACAGGTTGTGGTGAGCAAAACAGACGATAATTAGGGACAGGAGGATTTGGGCAATAAAACAAATAAATCAACTGAGAAGTGAGATGAAGAAACAGAATGTCCTGACAGAGCATGGAGGGAGCACCCAGGTATATGGGGTAGACAGGGAAGGCTCTGCTGAGAAAGTGGCTTATCTGAGGCCTGGGGGCCGGAGGAAGGTCCAGCCATACCAGCAGCTGAGAGAAGGCTATTCCTGTGAAGGGCCAGGGGTGGGAGATCTGGGTGTTTAAAAGCCAGAAAAAAAGGGGAGAGTGGCTAAAAGAAATGAGTAAATGGCAGAGAATGCACTGGAGCCCTCTAATGGTCCGGGCCTTTGTCTGCCAAGATAAAGAATTCGACTTTTATTTTAAGTAGGATGGAAAGCCATAAAAGGGAGAGATCTTTTTTTTTTAAGATTTTATTTATTTATTTATTTGAGAGAGAGAATGAGAAAGAGAGAGAGCATGAGAGGGGGGAGGGTCAGAGGGGGAAGCAGACTCCCTGCCGAGCAGGGAGCCCAATGTGGGACTCGATCCCGAAACTCCGGGATCATGACCTGAACCGAAGGCAGTCGCTGAACCAACTGAGCCACCCAGGCGCCCAAAAGGGAGAGATCTTATTGTTTTAATCCTTTTGCTTTGTGGTTTAATTGGATTATTACTGAGATTTCATTTTTCTTCCCTATTAACCATTTGTACACTTTGGCGAATTGTCTTCTCATGCTCCCCACCCGTTTATCTACCGGGCTGTTAAGTGACTTTCTCATTCATTTGATGAGGTTTGTCTCAGTTAAGGATTTTAATCTTTTGTGGTGTTTGTTGCATATATTTCCCCCTGGTTACAGTTTGCTTTTTAATTTTGCTTTCCTTTTTTTGGGTTGAGATTTTAAACCTTTGTGCTTTAGTGTATGAGAGGGTTCACCCATCACTATTAAGCTTAAGGAGTCCCCCGCCATCGACCTTGGGTAAATTGTGTTGTTTGTGGTCCGTGTTGTCGTGGCTCAATGGTGTACATTGGTGGACTTTTCTATTTTCGTGTGCGCGGAGGACCAAACTCCTCCTTTGGAGGTAAGGGCTTCAAGATGTGGAGACCCCTGGCCCACCCGGGCCGAGCCAGAGCGGGGAGGGGAAAAAGCCCTTCCCAGCGGGAGGCCGCAGCAGGTGGCACCCACTCTGCTGGGAATCCGCCCCCTCGTTACACAATTGACACAGAGGGCGGGGCCAAAGTCCTCTTCTACAGGTGAGAAAGCTGAGGCTCAGCAGAAAGCTGGGAGGGGGAGGTAAGCCTACAGCAGAAGCAAAAACTGCAGCTGGGCCTAGCTGGTGCCCGGGTGGCGGGCAGGCGGGTAGGGCGAGGGTCCGGTCGGAGAGCTGGAGCCCCGCCCCGCCCCTCCTCGGCCCCGCCCCCCCCGCCGCCTTTCCTGTACTGACCTCTCAGCACAGCCCGGCTCATTCCAGAGCCCGCGCATCGCTGATTTCATTGGCTGCCTCGCCGTCCCCGCCCCCTGGAGACCTGCTGATTTTCGTAGCCAATCAGCAGGCGCGGCGGCGGCGGCGGCGGCGGCGAGTCTCGGCGAGTCTCGGCGGATACCCGGCGCTGAGGTACCGGGGCGGGCAGGAGGGGCTGCGGTCCTGGGAGGGGGCAGTGCGGGCCCTCAGCGGCGCCGCGGCTGAGAGGTTGGGCCACCCTCCCGCCTCGGGGGCGAGCCACCCTCCTGCCTCCGGAGGGGCGGCGACCGCCACCGTCCGGGGCTGGCTGGAGGTTGTTGGGGTTGAGGGCAGAGGTCGGAGGTCGTGCCTTTGTGGAATGTTGGGGTCCCGCCCGTCTAAGCCTAGGAGTGGGCCGCGCCCCGTTTTGTTTTTGTCAGCGCCTGTGTGGGGACCGCCCTCCTTGCACGGAAAGGGCTCTGAGGGAAACTGAGGCCTGGGAGCCGCCAGGGCCCCTCGCAGGCCCTGCGCTCTGACGGGAGGCCGGCGGCCCCCTCCTCCCGGCCGCCGGGTCTGGAGGGTGCGGGAAGGAGGGGGAGGGCGGCACGGTCGCGCGGGGGGCCACTGGCTGTCCCCGAAGGGCCCCACGCCAGCGCTGCCGAGGCTGTCATTCCCCGTGTTTGAGATTTCGTTTCTGGACCGTCACTCGGACGGTTCCAAGAGGGGAAAGCAGGTAGTGTGGCTTTTGCACTTGGCTGGAGGTGAAAATAAAAACCAGGCATGGGATGTAATGAAGGCAAAGCGACCTGTGAGAAACTGGACGAATTTCTTAGCTCGACAAGAGTTTTCTGCCCATCTTGGCCCACATACTACGTAATTCAAGCCTTGGGTATTGGAAATCAGAGTATTTTATTCTCCTGGTTCTCATAAGCAAATGCCCTTAGTTTTGACCTTGGCGAGGATGCTTTGGAATGTGTAAAGTATTGAACAAGAATTGTTTTGTACAAAAGTTCTAAGTTAAGATTCTCAGAGCAAGGAAGCTGGGAACAGCCCTTGCCTCTCATTGCAAGGATCCCAGCAGCTTCTTTACCCCTCTGAGACTAAAGAGAAGTCGTTTATCTGTGTGGGTTTTGGAGAGACACCAGCTATGGATGAGGAATAGGGGGGATGCCATTAGGGGAAAATGCTATTTTTATATGCCTCTCACCCACCGCATCTCAGCTAGCATAGAACACATTTTTTTTTTTTTTTTTTTGTACTGTTGGTGTCTGTTGAGTATTTACAATGATCAGGGAAAGGAGTAATCTCTAACAAGACACTTCTCTTTAATGTAGCTGCAGAGCAATGAATGTGCCTTCTGTGGAATTAACCATGGGGTTTGGTTTTCAGTTAAGAAAATGAGGCAGAAGGAAGTGTTAACCAAGACCTTCCAAGGCCCAGCCATTGTCTGTAGAACTCCGACCAGCCACGTTTACATGTTTGAGAACGGTGGTGGGGACTCGGGGGACTCCTCTGAGGAAGATTCCCACCGCGTGGCTCTGCGGCCCCGGGGCAAGGAGCGCCAGAAGGGTGCCCATCACCCTCACCAGCCAGGAGTAGGGGACGTGGTGCTGCTGCAGCGGGAACTGGCCCAGGAGGACAGCCTCAACAAGCTCGCTCTTCAGTATGGCTGCAAAGTAAGAAACCCCACAGGTGAAGGTGTCACCTGTCCCTCGGCTCCTGTGTGTTTAGAGGAGCAGAGCAACTCACTGAAGGGTGGGGGCCCTTGCTGCCCCTTCCTGGCCACCCAAAGGTGGTTTGGAGAGGCCTCTTGTAGCCTTAAAGGACGCCCCCCCCCCCGCCCCATCTAGCGAGAGATGGAAGGCAGGTGGAAATACTTTAAATTCTGAACCTTGGGATCATGAAAAGTGAGGGTTAGGAATCTCACGGGTTGGGGCAGTTCCCTCTCTGCAGAGTCTGCAGAGTACTTCTCTCCCTGTCCCTCCAAACTGAATTTCAGAACCCCCCCCCCTTTTTTTAAAGTAGGCTTCATGCCCAATGTGGAGACCACATGGGGCTTGAACTTGCAATCCTGAGATTAAGACCTGGGCTGAGATCAAGAGTCAGATGCTCAGGGGCACCTGCGTGGCTCAGTCGGTTAGGCCTCTGCCTTCAGCTCAGGTCATGATCCCGGGGTCCTGGGCTTGAGCTCCACATTGGGCTCCCTGCTCAGCGGGGAGTCTGCTTCTCCCTCTCCCTCTGCCCTTCCCCCGGCTTGTGCTTTCTCTCTCAAATAAATAAAATCTTAAAAAGTCAGATGCTCAGCTGACTGAGCCACCCAGACACCCCCCCACCCCCCACTTTTTTTTTTTTTTTTCTTCTTTCAAACACATTTTATTTAAGACCTACTAGGGCCAAACATGCCAGGCAGAATTTATCCAAGGTTTGTTTGGTAGGCTTGCTTTTTTGGCTACTTCTCTTTTTCTGACCCTTTCTTGCTGGTTGTAGCTTATTTGGTCAAGTTTTACATTCTCTCTTTTAGAACTGCATGATCTAGCCTTTGTATGCTGTGTATCTATATAACCCTGTTTCTCTCTTTAATTATGTTTTTAGCATTCAGAGTGATTAACATGGCAAAGTAAGTAGGAAAGTATTTATAGAATTGCTGCATTTTTCTCCTAGATTGAAACTATTTATTTCATTTTGCTAATAACACTGTGTTACAACTTTCTATGGCCTCCCCTGAGGCTGTCTAACCAATTTATTTGAGAAATCTTTTCCTCCTTAGTTTCTTGTCATTTATCTAACAAGGTTCAAAGGGTTAAACACATTGTATAGGATGTTGTGGTATTTCCCAAGGGAAATAAATAGGCTGGTCTCTAGGGACACAGAGTGGTCTCTCAATTGTACTGAAATTTATATTTGACTCTCTAAATAGCTTCTGTAGGCATACTGTGTGGTTTATAGACATGGGCTGAAAATGAATCTGACCCTACACTGAGTGGAGGCAGTGGGCTTCTTGGAATACTGATGTTTAATAAGTCTGTGAAGACTATATATATAATGCCTCCGATAAGTAATCAGTTTTCCAGTTTAAAGTAAATATAAATTTGGTGTTAATTTATTAAAGGCAGAGACCATCAGGTCTCAAGCACCTTATGCTTTAGTTTCAAGACATGATAAATTAAAAATGTCTGCCACCTCAATTCAATTAGATGATAAAAACAATTGCTCAATAAGTGAAAAATAATGGAGATGATTGATTTGAATAAGGTGCTATCTAAAGGTCTGTTGGCTGTATTTACACTCTAGTTTAAAACTAAACTGGGCTTATGAGTTAAGATCTTAAAGTCCATCTCTAATGCTTTCAGTAAGTTCCAAACATTAGCTTGAGGGAGGGTTTCTCTTTGACTTACATTCTGCACCACCCCTCCCTTAAGATTTGATTGTGGAAGGAGTTTGTCATGAACTTTGTTACTTTGTAAAACTCATAGTGCAGTTCCTTTCTCCTCCGGTCCTAAAATTGAAACAGAAGACTTCAGTCCATACTTTCCAACTTGATTCATGATTCCCTATATGTTTCTAATTATCATTAAGTGTTGTGAAATCCTCAAAGTGTATTACCCCTAGATCACTTCTATTTAAAAAATAAGTTTATATGCCATACCTCTTAAAACGTTATTACAGTTAAAATAGGTTCTGAGTGTCTGTTGAGTTGGCTGAGGCTTTGTGTTTGGGGATCCCTAATGTAATCAGCTACTGAATTGGGTTCTTAATGTGGGAAGGAAGTCAGCCAGACGGGGGCACTGTTGCCTCAAAAGTTAAAAGTAGAAAGGGCTATAGCTTTTTAAGTTGCCATGGTTGGGTTTCACCTAAGAACATTTTGTTGCGGTCACACTTTAAACAAACAAGAGACTCTTTTCCAAAATTGATCGTATGTTATTCAAACTTGTAAATCTGTATGGAAATGTGATGATCAAGCTACACATTCAGGCTGAGTTTAAGCCAAAAAAGTTACTCAGCCTAAACTAATTTTGTACATAGATGCAGTTTTCCAATATTCATCAGATTCTTAAAAGCGGGGTGGGCTTGGATCCTCTTTCATAGAGAGCTACTTTTTGGATATTCGTTCTAAGGAGTTTACATATTTCGTGATGTTTGTCTTCATGGCTTTCCTAGGTTGCAGATATCAAGAAAGTCAACAACTTCATCAGAGAACAAGACTTATACGCTTTGAAATCTATTAAGATTCCAGTGAAAAATCATGGGATCCTAACAGAGACCCACAAAGAACTCAGACCCCTCCTGAGCCCATCCTCAGAGACCAGAGTGACCTTTGAGGAGCAGCCAGACCCAGATAGAGCAGCTGTAGGCACCGGTGCCCTGTCCAGCCCACTGACGGATTTCTTTAAGGGCATTGACCAGAATATTGAGCGCGCAGTGCAGTCAGAAATCTTTTTAAATGAAAGTTACTGTGTAGAGACCTCCAATCAGCTGCTGCTCCCGGCTTCTCCGAAGACCCCGACAAATGGTGCAGACTGTGGAATTCAGTGGTGGAATGCCGTTTTTATCATGCTTCTAATTGGGATTGTTTTACCAGTGTTTTATTTGGTCTATTTTAAAATCCAAGCTACTGGCGAGATCCCCAGTAGCTTGAACACAACTGCTGTCCCCAATGGCTCAGTGACCGTGAGTGCAGTTCCAGGGCACGTCCCCAGATTAGCAGTTCCAGTGCCAACCATCCCCTCTTCAGACAGCCAATTCAGTCCAACCACCCGGGCAGGGAACTAGCTCTTTTTGTTTCTAAAGAATCAGGCCAGTGTTAGCATTTGGCCTCCTAATGTGCATTACTTGCCATTGGCCATATCTTAGGGTGCTGCATTTCCTTTTCTATGACATATGGACATGTCTCAGAAGCCAATGTTGTGTTCTCCAGAACACTCACCCTGGGGAATAGGCTCACCTAATCCAAGGCTGTGGGAGCCAAAACACCAGCACCCTCAGCCCCCTGCATCCAGAAGGTACAGCAAGGGAGACATTTGCACGTGATACATGCCGTTTCTTGAAGGTATAGCGTGGACTGACACTGCGTGGGCCCCCATGTTGGAGGTGTTCAGAAGTTGAGGAGCGGCGTTAAACCTTCAGTGTGGGAGCCTCTGGGATCAGCTTTGGTCACATGGCTGTTTGCAGTGTCTCCTGCCTGCAGGGAAGAGATGACTGGCTGTGACACATGGTGTTCTTTGTCCCCCTGGCAAAGGTGCTCTCCAGTAGTGGTGAACATCACCCTGTTTTGGAATAGGACAGATTATAAGAAGCCCTATTTCATATTTGCCCCACCAGTTAGCCTTTTTTGAGGCAATGTCACTTCTAGAATTGAAAAAGCCCTGAATCCGAATTGCTCTAATATCAAGTAAATGGCAGTTCTGTTCCTTGTACTTCTAGACCTACTTAGTAATACCCAGGCCAGCTTGAAGGTGCTGCATGGCATGGCCAGCACTTCCTGGCCAAAAGATTTGGAGGCTTTTGCTCAGTTTCCCCTGAGGTGCATCCCCACTGCAGTGGCTGACCAGATTACCCAAGTTAGCATTCTTGGAAAGAATTCTTGCTGGCCAGTGACTAGAGCTGAGTAGGTGGAGAGAAAAAGATGAGTGCCTATCTCCGAGGTCCCAACATGTGACACTTCTAAGGCCGAACAGTCCAGCATTGCTGAGAGCGGCAGCCCCTGGGTGCACCTAGAAAACAGGTGCAGGGAGAATAGGTGTGGTTCCTGCTGCTTCCCCTACTCTAATCTTGGGAAGTCTAGAGCCATTGCGCCAGAATGGGGCTCAGTGTTTTTCTTCGGGTAAATACACTTTATATAGTGTAGCTCATGATGTTAAAAACCAAACCACTTAATGTACGGCCTAGAGGTGACCGTTGCTGTGAAGGCCATAAAAAGAGGGGTCAGGCTCCCATCAGCCTGAGGTTTTCCCATCTACACTGCAGCAGTCATGCCGGAGGCTCAAGGGAGGCATGGGTCAGCCCTCTGAGGCCTTGCAGGTGGAGCAGGGGTACGTGAGGTGAGGGTGAAAGCCTGTTTGGCTGGAGCCCATCTCAGTCCCACGGAAGAATGGAATTGGGCTTACGTGGCTCAGAGAAGCCCGCCACCAGGGAGGAAAACAGACTGCACAAATGCTGAGCTTTGAGCGTGGTTTATGTCATTGGACACATCACGCCTAGAGATGAGATTTCATCATGTAAGAGGAGGCGAGTGTGGCAGAGGAGTACTTGAAATTGGCTTCTCATTTTTCTCCTCTCAGCTACGTGGAGAACGATTTGCGCTGGGTTCGATTAGTAAATTTAAAGTATCTTCAAAAGTAAATCTTTTCTTCAAAATCAAAATGGTCTTCAGGATAAAATGAACTTGTGAATTTTTGCTACAGGAAATGTTTTGATCATGTGAATGCTTTTCCAGCCAAATGTTTGTGCTCACTGTGCCCCTGGAGGCCACAGGTTTCTCTAACATATCACCATTAACGAGGCAGAGCCCGGAGTCCCACGGGAAAATGGCTTTTGCCAGGCAAAGAATAAATATCTGTATCCTTTACTTTTTAAAAATGGAATAAAATAATTTCTTCCGTGAAGGAAAATTGATTCTTTTTTTTTTAATTGGGGAGGGGTGGTAATTCAGAATTAAAAGATGTGCGACAATGTTGGAGAACATGGAGGTGTCCATGCCCAGGGGGTGAGGCCTGCCCAGGGCTTTGTGCTCAAGGTCACCAGAACAGGTGAAGAACAGAAGTGGTAAACCAGCACAGTCTCACTGATTGGTCTGTACAACGTGCTTTAAAGTGGTTTTATTAAGTATACATGAGAGATCATGAAGCTCATTTTCTACACATTTTACTACATTTTTAGTGTCTTGGGAGTTAATGTTTTAAAGAAGTAATTAGATTTGATAGGTAGTGTTCGGTCCTTTTGATTGAACTATAGTGCCCAACATTGTGGACACCTAGGGAATCTATGTCGTCAGGCAAACGATGCTCCCATTTTACCCTGGGGTGACAAGGCTACAGAGACTAAGCAGAAGTCTCAGGGTCACCCAGAGCAGGACTGCCCAGCCAAGGCCATGCCGCAGTCCTTCCTTGGGAAGGTAGTTCTTTAAACTGCCTCTGTTGGGGCGCCTGGGTGGCTCAGTCATTGAGCGTCTGCCTTCGGCTCAGGTCATGATCCCAAGGTCCTGGGATCGAGCCCTGCATCAGGCTCCCTGCTCCACGGGAAGCCTGCTTCTCCCTCTCCCACTCCCCCTGCTTGTGTTCCCTCTCTTGCTGTGTCTCTCTCTGTCAAATAAATAAATAAATAAAATCTTTAAAAAAAAAAATAAACTGCCTCTGTTAATAGTGAAGTCCTCCCAGGGTTGAGGAAGAATGATAAAGATTCTTATTTCTCTACATCCGCACCAACATTTGTGAACTCTTGTCATTTTGATGATAGCCATTCTAACAGGACGGGATATCTCACTGTGGTTTTGATTTGCATTTCCCTAATGATTAGTGATGTTGAGCACCTTTTCATGTACCTGTTGGCCATTTGTGTAATTTATTTGGGAAAATGTCTATTCAGGTGCTTTGCCCATTTTTTGTTATATATATATGTATATATATTTTGCTGCTGAGTTGTGTGAGTTCCTTATGTATTTGGGCTATTAACTCTTTATTGGATATATGGTTTGCAAATATTTTTTCCCACTCTGTAGGTTGTCTTCATTTTGTTGTTTCTTTTGCTATGCAGAAGTTTTTTAGTTTGATACAGTCTCACTTATTTTTGCTTCTGTTGCTTATGTTTTTGGTATTATATCCAGAAAATCGTTGCTAAGACTACTATCGAGTTTACCGCCAAGGAGCTTATATTCAAGTCTTTAATCCATTTTGAGTTAATTTTTGTGAGTGGAAAAAGATAGGGGTCTGCTTTCATTTTTTTTACACATGAATATCCATTTTCTCAGCACCATTTATTGAGGAGACTATCTTTTTCTCCACTGAGTATTCTTGACTCCCTTCTCAATACGACTGTATATGCACCGATGTATTTCTGGGTTCTCACTTCTGTTGGTTTGTATTTGTTTTAATGCCATTACCATACTGTTTTAATTACTATGGCTTTTATAATATAACTTGAAATCAGGAAGTGTGATGCCCCTGCTTTGTACTTCTTTCTCAGGATTCCTTTGGCTATCCAGAGTCTTTTGTGCTTCCATATAAATTTTAGGATTTTTTTTCTGCTTCTGTAAAATTTGCTATTGGAATCTTGATAGGGATAGCATTGAATCTATAGATGGCTTTGAGTAATATGGAAATGTAAACAATATTCAGTTTTCTAGCCCATGAACACAGGATACCTTTCCATTTATTTTTATCTTCTTTCATCAGTGTTTTGTAGTGTTCAGTGTAGAGTTCTTTCAACCTCCTTGGTTAAATTTATTCTTAAATATTTAATTGTTTTTGATGTTACTGTAAATGGGATCATTTTATTTCTTTTCAGATAATTCATTGTTAGTGTATAGACACACTACCAATTTTTATGTTAATGTTATATTAATAATTTTATGTTTATGTTAATTTTGTATCCTGGAACTGTACTGAATTCATTGATAAGATCTAACAGGTTTTTTTTTTATGGAGTCTTTAGGATTTTATATATATAAAATCATGTCATCTACAAATAGAGATAATTTTACTTATTTTTTTTTTCAATTTCCTGCTTTTTATTTTTTTCTTGCCTGATCACTCTGGCTAGGGCTTCCAGTACTATGTTGAAAAGAGTGGTGAGAGTGAGCATCCTTGTTTTGTTCCTGATCTTAGAGAAAAAGCTTTCACCCCTTCATCATTAGGCATAAAGTTAGCTGTGGACTTGTCATATATGGCCTTTATTATGTTGAGGTACATTCCTTCTACACCTAATTTGTTGTTAAGAGTTTTTATCATGAACAGATGTTGAATTTTGTCAAATGTTTTTTCTCCATCTATTGAGAGGATCATGATTTTTGTCCTTCATTTTGTTAATAAGGTGTATCACATTGATGGCATATGTTGAACCACCTTCTATCCCTGAAATAAATCCCACTTGATCATGGTGAATGATCTCTGTAATGTGCTGCTGAATTTGGTTTGCTGGTATTTTATTGAGAATTTTTGCAACTATATTCATAGGGATATTGGCTTATAGTGTCCTTTTCTGGCTTTGGTATCAGGCAGTGCCTGATACTTTTCTGCCTTTGATATCAGGCCTCATAAAATAAGTTTGGAAATGTTCCCTCCTTTTTTTTTTTTTTTTTTTAAGTTTGAAAAGTATTAGCATTAATTCTTTTAAATGTTTGGTAAAAGTCACTGTGAAGCCATCTGGTCCTGGTTTTTTTGTTTTTTTTTTTTTGGCAGATTTTTGATTACTGATTCAGTCTCTTTACTAGTAACTGATCTGTTCTGATTTTCTGTTTCTTCCTGATTCAGTCTTGGTAGATTATATATTTTTAAAATTTTTTCTATTCTAGGTTGTCCAGTTCGTTGGTGAATAGTTGTTCATAGTAGTCTCTTATGATCCTTTGTATATTTGTGGTATCAGTTGTGATGTCTCCTTTTTCTTTTATAATTTTGTTGCCTTGGGTCCTCTCTCTTTTTTCCTTGTTTAGTCCAGCTAAAGGTTTGTCGGTTTTGTTTATCTTTTCAAAGAACCAGCTGTTAGTTTTATTAATCTTTTCTATTGTTTTCCTATTCTCTCTTTCATTTATCTGCTCTAATCTTTATTGTTTCCTTCTTTCTGCTAACATTGGGTTTACTTTGTTCTTTTTCTAGTTTCTTAAAATGTTAGATTGTTTATTTAAGATCTTTCTTGTTTCTTAATGTGGGTGCTTGTTGCTATGAATTTTCTTATAACTACTTTTTGCACATATTCCATAAGTTTTGGTATGTTGTGTTTCCATTTTAGTTTGTCACAGGGATAGTTTTTTATTCCTCCCTTTAATTTCCTCTTTGATCCATTTGTTGTTCAGGAGAGTGGTGTTTAATTTCCATTTATCCATGAATTTTCCAGTTTTCTTCCTGTTATTGATTTCCAGTTT